ACTTTGGTTAAAACAATGCTCGTTTATTTTAAATACAATACCTGCTTGTGAACCTTAAGATACAATGCACAGAGATCCATAATTAAGCTTAGAACTTCCTAAAATCTCACTAGATACACTTTTCTGTAACTCAGGAAGTTATTCTAGCCAAGTGTTAATACACTGACTGTTGTTCTATTTGTCCTTTCTACTTCTTGTATAATTTCTGTGTTGATAAATCTTATGCTTACTGCTTGTCTTTAATCATATTTCTGCTGTCTTTGAGGCCTGCTTTTTGTAACTTGCCTAAAACTTTGATTTTAAGGATTCTTACAATTCTCCCCTTGGTTCAACTAAAAACTCGCAAGCCACTGGCACAACCCAGATTTGCCTGGTTGTGCAGGGTCAGACAATGCTCACCTCCCACAACCCTGGGCAAACGCCAAATCCTCTTTCTGACCATCACAAGTGGCCTCAGCCCTTTGTGCTCAGCCCCAGTAAAGACCCCAAAGGCCTTGGATACCAAACCCCTAAAGGCAAGAGGGGCACCAAGACACCCAGAGAGCACCGTCAGCAGGAAAGGTCAGGTCTAGGGCCAGGCTGAGCCAGGTGGGACCAAGGTGGGAAGGCATGGAATGAGAGGGAAGGGGCAACAGCTCCGGCACAGCTGCAGATCCCAGAGCAGCCGGACAGGGCTGGGAGGGAATGGGGCTCCTCTCACAGCACACCCACAAACCACGGCACGCCCGTGCCACAGGGTCACCTTGCCGATGACACCGCACCTCCCCGAGGTTTTGGTGGCTTCTTCAGCCCTCCCTGACACTCACCTTCAGAGCAAACCCTCCCAAATGCCACCAACCCTCACATACCAATAACTCACACCTAAATCCTCCCTCAAGGTCAGAAGGACGTGGAATCGTGGAATTCCATAAAGGCACACCCTCATCATGACAGAGAGGGAAAGCGGAGCACGCTGACCATTAGTAGCAATTACTGGGTTTTGCTCACAGGAACACAATATTGTCATTCACAGGACATAAATCATTATGAAATCTTATGGTCTGAATGCGGAATAAGGGATTCGACACCACAGACCAGCCTGGGAACAAAGGGATCGGACCCCGTTTGTTGTTTGTTTTTGGATTTCTGAATGAGAGCAAGGAATACACTTTACATGCACGCGTGTGTTGAAATTAGAATTTGAGGAACCCAATTGGACCATAAAAATGGAACAGGTTCAGCCTGAACAGCTTCTGGTTTACCAGATCTTGTGATGCCATTTGAGACACCAGGCCGAGAGCTCTCTCTCATCCATCAGGAACAGCTGCCAGGCACTGGGAGCTTTCCAAGCTCTTCCAGAGTGACCTCCCCAGGACATCAGCAGCTCCATCAGCATTCCTGGGTGCAGCACAATGACTGATGGACATCCAGCAGCACAAAACAGAGTCCCGGTCTTCACAAGTCACCCAGAAACCACAGCACCCAAGGGACACAAAGTGACATCACTGATGATGCTGCAAGTCTCCAGGGCTCTGGTTGTTTATTCATTCCTCCCTGACACATCTGTCAGTGAAATCCTGCCAAATACCAACCCATGAAAATTGCCGCCAAGATCAGATGGACACGGCATCAAGAGCAGGACTCAGAATTGGAGAACATCACAAAGGAAAACACTCCCCANCAAATACCAACCCATGAAAATTGCCGCCAAGATCAGATGGACACGGCATCAAGAGCAGGACTCAGAATTGGAGAACATCACAAAGGAAAACACTCCCCAACTCATGACCTCATGCCAGGTGGGGTGAGGCAAAAGCTGCTGCCTCAAAAATGCCCCAAGGCCACGGGACAAGGCTGTCACACCCCTTCAGGACCAGCATAAAAGCTGGACCAGAGCCTCTGTCCCTCACACACTTCTCCTGACAGCTTCTCCTGCTGACAACCAGGTGAGCCTCATGCCACTGACCCTTTTGATCCTCTATCCCTGGCCCCTCTCTTCCAGCACGCTCAGCCCCAGCCTCAGCAGCCCTCACACCTCCCCACAGCCCCACAACAGCCTCCACACTCCATCACCATCCTCCATCACTGCCCCTATTCACCCCCACACTCCTGCCCTGCCTCACCTCTCTCTCTTCCAGGACCCTCCACTCCACACCCATGGCCTGCAACACCCTCTGCGGATCCACCTGCGGACCCACCCCGCTGGCCAACAGCTGCAACGAGCCCTGTGCCCTGCAGTGCCAGGATTCCCGCGTCATCATCAACCCTTCCCCTGTGCTGGTCACCCTGCCAGGACCCATCATGACCTCCTTCCCCCAGAACACCGCCGTCGGATCCACCTCCTCGGCTGCCGTGGGCAGTGAGCTCAGTGCCCAGGGACAGCCCATCTCTGGTGGCTTTGGTGGCTTTGGCTACGGCCTTGGCTACGGCCGTGGGTTTGGCTACGGGCTGGGAGGCCTGGGCTGCTATGGCAGGAGGGGATATGGCTACATCTGCTGAGGGCTCTCAACCTCCTGACACCAACCAACCACTCTGGAACCTATCTCAGGCATTGAGGACACATCTCTGGGCCACGGCTCTCAAAGGGGCTCGGTGATTCCAGTTCCTGTGATGCCTGAAGGCATCACCTGCTCTGAAGCCTCCAAGCAAGGCAGCAGCCATGGGTCCAGCCGAGCTTGCCTTCAAACATGGCCCATCTGCCTTTTCCTTCCACTGCCTGCTCTTCATCTCCCCTGTGTTTATGTCCAGTCCCCTCTGAGGCCAATCCTTCTCCCAAGCAGATACCACTGGGTGTCTCCGGTGTTTGGCTCCCACTGTGGGGCTCCAAGGCCTTGATGCTCTGCCCAAACCTACAAGCAAAGCTTCTCTGCTGATGGTCACCCTGCTCACAGCCCAGTCTGGCTCTCTTCCACTGCTGGTCCCGAGTTTTCACTCTTCATCCTCAATAAAGTTTTCTTGCATCACAACCTCACATGGCTCTTCCTTTTTATTCCCCGGACTCTTCCAGTCTCTCTCAGCGGTAAGGCAAGTTTTTGCAGGGAATTGGCGTGGATGAAAAAGTGCACCAAGCCCTCTCTTGGGAAATATTTCTCCAGTTCCACTACCCCTAGCACACCTTGGTCTTCCATTTCACCCTTCACTTCCTTGAGATCAGGCCTTGATGCTCTAATGCAGGTCTTTGCCTGCCTCTGACACAAGCCCCTTGTGGTCTCTGTGTTCTCTTTTGGTTCCAGCGCCTCATCAAGTCAGAGGTTCATCTACAGGTCTGCTTGAGCAGGTCCTTTTCTTCCTTCTCATGGATGGTCCTGCCTGGGAAGTCATGAGCTGGGGATTCCTTGCCTTCCCCCACAATCCACAGCGTCATGTTCTTCTGGGGTTGTGTCCTTCCTTCCAACCTTGGTGGTGTCTTTTACATGTGAGTTTTAGAGAACATATTCTGGTATTTATGGCTCGTGTCAGGGTGGGCTCAAGATGTGACCAAAGCTTTGGAGAAGTGGAGTTGCCCCCATGCTCTGGCAGCCCTGTCAGGCTGCATTTTGCAGCTGTGCTGAGTAGGAGGTGTTGTACCTTCAATCACATACCCTCCCTCCATGCTTTTCTCCCAGCTGGCAATGGCTGACATTGGACCATTGTTTTCCTCTTGGTTGTGCTGGGTGTGTTTCTTGGTGCCACTCTTGCTTTTAGAGTTTTGATATGCAGGGTCTTTTGGGTCATTTCTTGGGCTAAGGACTGTGGTCATTCCTTTGAGCAATGTCTGGTTGTCAGAAAGAGGATTGGGCAGTTGCCCTGGGTTTTTGGAGGAGAACATTGCATAATCCTTGACAACACCCCAGGCTCATCCAGACTGTGTCAGTGGTGGCTGGAGAAGGCTCTGAAGGGCTGGGTCTGGTGGCTTGTGGTCAGTGTCCCAAGGTCCAGCAAACCCCCAGTGCTGTGGCCCAGGGGTTGGATCTTTTTGGCCAACACTGATATCCTGAGTGGTCCTGGACATCTGCTGGAGCTCAGCAAGGACAGGTGCCAAGTGCTGTTTGTTGGTCATCCCAGGTAGGAAGTAAAGTCCTGGAGTCGCTTGGAACAATGGTTTTCTTCTCTGAAAAAGCCTTTGGGGTTGTGGCTGAGAAGAAGTAGACCAGGGGGTGCCCTTGGGTGGGAAAACGGACCCCAAGGTTCGAGGGAAGAAGTGGGGAAGATGTTGTGATGAGACAGGGGGAGGTGACTCTTGCTGTCTCCTGAGAGCTGGTGACAGCCCATGTGTGGTGTTATGAGCGGTTCTGGGCTCCCCAGCATGAAAATGAAATCCATTTAATAAATCTAAACCATTTCAGGGCCAGCAATGTTCTAAAGGGGCTGGGGGCACTTTCCTAGAGAAGAGGATGGGAGAGCTGAGACTCCCAGGGGACAAAGATGGACAGGGCTGTGCCATCAGTGTGTGCAAATCCCTGACGGTGAGGAGTGAAGACAAGGGAGCCTGGCTCTTCTCAGCAGCACACACGTGCAGGGCAACAGAGCAAGGGCACAAGTGACAAGAGATTAAATTCCATGGGCAAAGAAGACAAGAATCTTTCATAGTGAGGGCAGCCACAGTGTGGAAGAGGTTGTAGAGTGGAAGAGGTGGTGGAGTCTCGATCCTTGGAGATCCAAATCTGCACTGTGCATGGTTCTGAAATGTTCTCCTGTTGCTCCTGCCTGAGCAGGGCAGTGGAAGCTCTTGCACTCCAGAGCTCCTGCCCAAGAGGTTGATGTTGTTTCTCTCTTTGCTGGGAGGCTTCAGGAGGCCTGGTGAGGAAGGGAGTTTGTGCACTGGCATGGAGTGACTTTTCCATTTTTGTGCCAAGGAGAGAACTTTTCTGTCAAAGACTTTGGTGTAAAAGCTTGCAGGGTGTGTGACATATTCTGGAAGATGTCCCTTCCTGTTTTTCCTATGCCTATTAGTTACTCCTATAACTAATTTGTTATTA